GATTATAAAATAGATAAATTTTTATGAGGTTAAAAAAAACTAATGATATCCTCTAAAACCAACCGTATCTTCTTCATTATGCAAAATAGTTAATCAAAAACATAACACAACACGAGTATTTATCAGCCTCAGCCTCAATCATCGGTGTCAACAGCAAGAGCTGCCGACAATTCTTGCCCTGACAACTACCTAGGGGTCGTTATCTAACAACAAGCTGTCCCGAAAGCTGTAATGGTGTATTTTGCTGGATACGTTCAATATTAATGCAAGATAAATGTGAAAGTCGAATAAAGATAAATGTGAAATTAAATGACTAAAAAGTAAATGCAATACGCATGGAGCTTTTATTAATTTATTTTTTCAATAAATATGTTAATTATGATAGACTCAAATTATCATAAGGTTTTACAAATTTTTTATATTGAATTTTGAAAAAGAACTGCTTGAGGGAAAGCTGTAGCTTTAACGTCTTCAAGCTACAGCTTTCCCTCAAGCACTCCTCAGTGCAATTTGCTACTTGAGGTGTGGTATACTATCGCAAAAAGCTCAAGTTGTTACCAATTCGCCTTCGCCAATATGCACATATTCTTTCTCTTCTCTATTATTATTATTATATAGTATTCTATATAAACCTTTTACTCCACGTTACCTCAAATCTCGGTTTACGTTCTTGAATGACACATACCTCAAACTGTTGAGATCGTCGGAGAACCTAAAACTAAAAATGCCGGGGTTCGGTTGTGGAACGCCCTACCTCCGCCTGCCTGTATTCAAGAAACAAGTGAAATAATACTAACTGGGAGACGTCAATGTCAATTAACTTCTACTAAGTTGACAAGGTGACATTATTTCTTATAGTATACTCGTATGTACTTAGAACTTATAAATCACATATATTTATTTAATTATATGTATCTAATAACACCACCAGCCGTGTTCAGCACATTGTATATTCCCCTCTAGTATGTTATACTCGTATATTCACCTAAGTCCAACAAATAGATACTATGTGTAATTTACACTTTTTATATTTATGTATATACTACTTTGATTTCATCTTCTTTTCTATTTCTAATACCCCGTGAGTTTTGAGATTCATGTTTTAGGGTTTGGTTTATTTTTCTTCTGATTGGGATTTCTAGATATTTTTTTATTAAAATTGAAAGATGATAACAAAAGTATACACTAATTTTTGTTGTTTTGTTTAATTTTATTGCTTTTTTGTTGCGTGGTTATTAGTAGAGTATTTTAGAGTTAGAATATTTTGGAATAATATTATTTAGCAAATTTTAATTATTCATAATTATTCTTAACAAAAACTCCTGTTGGTAAGATTTTTTGAAAACGTAAATCATTTATATAACAAAGTGCTATTGTGGCGTATTCCTGGTCAATTATAAAATCACATTTTTTTGTCTCTATTTTTTCATTCAAATTAAACTGAAGTTTATTTGAAATAATCTTTACCCGACGAATAATATTCAAGGCTTATCTAGTATAGTTATACGACATGTTCTTCTTCATGTAAATTAATATAGCAATAAAGTAGACCATTCCCTCCGTGTATGTGAATATGTAATCGCTTACGAAATCTTTTGTTTGGGATCCTTCAGTTCCATACAATGAATGATACAATTCAAACATTAAGTGCTAAAATTAGATTCTATGAATACATACGAAGTATTGTTTAGTTTTTGAGAATAGCATAGAAAAGTCTGATTTGGATTTAATTATTGAAAAAAATATGTATGATCAATTGCAAAGTTTAAAAAATACTAATTCGATACCCACTATATTTATCACACATTTTCACCCGCAACCTGAATATTCCTGTGGCTATTTACTGAAAAATACATTTAAAATAATTTTTTTTAGTTATAAAATTTACATTTAAGTAAAATTCGATCAGGGAATCGACTATTAAACGCTCTTGATGATAATGAATGAATGTAAAAAAATGTTTACTTTACTTTTTTCTTATTGTATCTTCAATTTCTTAAAACTTCAGTGATGTGTTTATTACTGTTTCATAATAAGCTCTTGATCGATTATTATTTAAAAAGTGCTTGTTTGTACAGACTTGAAGTATCATAGTTTTTATAACTACTCAGAAATTATACGACTATATAGATATTTCTATAAAGAACTCTTTACTAACTTTATATTAAAAGACTTTGGCTGATCTACTGTGTCTACTTCTTAATACGTTTTAAGTTGTCAGTAAAACGACGCGCATCATAAACCGAGCCAAGCCAAATTTTATTCTAATAAAACCGCATGTAAAACAGAGTAATTTCGAATCGGAGGCTGTTAGGGAAATGCTTCCGAAAAGGAATATAATATAATACCAATGATATCTGATGATTTTATGAGCATTAATCAGGCTCCAAAATAAAACTAAAGGACATCATTCACGCTCCATACAAAAATTACCAAAAAAAAAGTGCCGGCCAATAAAAAAAATGGTTTTATCGGTTAGAGAATGACATTCTAAGATTTTTTTCTTTAGACGGCTAAGAGCAAAGACCGATTACTTATGAGTTATATGACTTAGAAATAATAAAAAAATGCATTTATACGAGTTCGTCTGAACAATTTTTACTTCATTACTATAGCAAAATTCAAATAATGATGATAAAGAATAACTTAATCTCGCTTAATAATAATATAATATGACAAAAAGCCTAATTATATACAATCATCATTTGGTACCTAAGTACCTACGTAGGTATTTATGTGTAGGTAATAGGTCTTTACCTATGAAATTGCCGTTTGTATGCAATAAGTGAAAGTACTTATTTTTTCAAACTTTTTTATTTCTGTTATTCGAAGTAATCACCCATGCAATCAACGCATCTTTGCCAACGCATTGGCAGTTTATTGATAGCCCTTCTTGTAAAAATCAGCTGGACGGGAGGCAACAAACTCTTCAAAGGCATTTTGTACTGCCTCTCGCGAATTGAATTTTTTACCCACTAAAAAGTTGTCTAAATTTTGGAAAAAGTAATAGTCGGTAGGTGCAAGGTCTGGTGAGTACCAAGCAACCAGCTTTGGTCAATCGGTCGTCCCCACTGCTCCTTCACGACAACGCACGACCCCATACTGCACAACAGACTGTCTCCAAGCTGCAAGAGCTGGGGTTGGAAGCTCTTCCTCATCCGCCATACTCACCAGACCTTGTTCCCCTTACATTAGTTCCCTTCTCATGTTTATCCTTAGACATGAGAAGGGAATATTCTATTGATAAATAAGAAAATTATGTTGTTTCCGAAGTCAGATTACCAATCTTTAATTTATTAATTTAAAAAAAAGGCAAAGCGAGTGAATTAATAAGGCCTTAGAGATTTTGATTATCTGTTGTGAGAGCCTGTTACTTTATCTAAATGTTACTCGAACTTTATCTCATAAGAGATATTTCCTGAAAAGGTAGTTTTTGCAAAAAAATCGCATGATGGACTGAATTCTTATTTTGTTTGTTTCACGTGACTTTAAATATTATATTTTTAAGAAATATTGTATCACGCTTCGCAGCAAGTTGTACAAGTTTATGAGATTTTATAAAATTGAAACGTTAACACGAGGCGTCGTCTGTAGTCACGTGCTAATTAAACAAGTAACAAAATATTCCAATCACCCTAGACTTCAATTAAAAGATTGTTTTAATAAAATATCTTATCTCTTTAACAATTACTCTTCATATACAAAAACTGCATGGTTCATGGAGGGACTTTTAATGTTTTTTTTTTGCAGGACACCAGTTAACTCCTGTCTGGTTTAGTATTGAACTTCTTGCGTTGCGTATCCACAGTGGGTGGGGTTCTTAGGATCCCTCGATGTAGTTAGTGTATAAGATTGGAATGTAGATAATGATTGGGTTTTTTCTTGAATTTCTGTAACCTCACACACTTGGCGAAAAGCAACTAAAAAATTGCTGTGAGAGCGTGTCGTCTCACTGTTATCAGAAAAATAAAACTTGGTTATGAATTAGCAAAAGTCCAAGGATTAAATAGTACACTGCAAAGTATTTTAACAATACGAAAATTTTACACAAGATGTAATGAGAACCACTTGAGCTAGGCGCGGAATTCCGATAAGTCAAGTACAGAAGAAAATTAGACCAAAGTTTAGAAAACGCTTAAAGTTCTGAAGTTGTTCTTAAGAGATATCGAGATAGCTGACATCTCCATAGACGGTTGTCTGTCCTCTTGTCAAACAATTTTTAATCGACCTTCTTCAATATAATGTAATGTCTTCTTCTCTATGATGATGAATCGAGAACTCTCCTAAAATTTTCATTTTCGGTTATTTTATTTTCCATCTCATCTCATCTATCATCAGAAGATCGTAATCGTAAAGTAAATGAATTTAAGAGTAACAGAACTGTAATTTACTACAAAATTAAATTACGTAAAAATAATAATATAGGAACAAAAATACGTTGGATTAAGAAGATTGAAAGCTAGATTTACTTGTCATACAAATGTTCAGTATTAAGAGGGGCTTGTGGCCAAGTTGTCACAGAGTAGGTTAATAATACACAGCAAAGTATGCAATCGCAGCCAGGTACTGACCTGGTACTGATACTGACCTAGCAGTGCCTCGGAGAGCACGTTAAGCCGTCGGTTCCGGTTGCCATACGAACATCTGTGGCAATCGTTATGGGTAGTTTGAGCCCTGAAAAGTCCGACAACAGTCTTTCTACAGAACTTTGATATCGCCTAGTACTTGGGTTGTGGAGATCTGATGGCTGATCGTAAAAAATTGCAGTTCAGCCTTATCGTAGTAGACTTAAAGCCGACCCCAACCTAGTTTAGGAAAAAGGCTCGGAGGAAAAAAGCAGATGTCCTATTTCTAACATTCTGTTCTGAAAATTTTAAGAATTTTCAGTTAATATGCAATTGAACTAAAGACAAAATAACCCAACCAAGAGATAAATAAAAATGTTTCAAAACGTCAAATAAGCGTTAACAGCATAATATCAAGTTAAAAATCTATGCAAAATGCAAGTGATCAGCTTGTCGTCTTATCCAAAAATGTACGCAATCTACAATTTTCTAAATTATGTAAGTGATCCGTGAGTTTACTACATATCGGTTTAAAGATCTTTATTTCTCAAAAAACAATTGTAAAGTTTCAAGGTTTTAATCATTACATTTACGTTTGGTAGTTAATTGTTTGTTTCTCTTTGAATACGAATAAGTTGCAGACAAGAAATTTACAGTAAGTACACACAATATTGTTACGTGGATGCTCAAGTTACAACTGACCAGTGAAAGATTTTGTGAGTTGAAATAAAATGTGCACGCTTATGTGAATTCCGATTAATCGTGAAGGCTTGATACTAGGCTCGATTCACATCACGTGTCGGCCAATGCCAGAAAGGTAGCCGAGGATACTATTACAACAGAGCATTACTGACTATATAATGTACAAGCAGACGCACAATCAGCACGAGTTCTGTTCTTGAAGTAACAGCACAACCAACTAATCTTACCAAAATGATGAAGCTGGTAAGTTTTTTCCGTTTGATTCGACACTTTAAAAATGGAACATACGCAAGGGGCAACAGTTTTAATTTGATCATACGTAAATTGACAGATTTTAACTATCAAAATATAAAACTAGAAGAGCAATTTATTGTTAATTTAACATTTTCATGTTGACAGTATAACAAGAAAATAGAATAAATAAAACGTATTCTATTAAATAGTACTATAGGTTTCGAACTAAACGGGCGCAATAGTAGCAGCAAGGAATTTGTTTATAAATATACCAAGGTTAATACATAAATATATTACGAAGTGTCGCAAGAAAAAAAAGCCCGTGAATTTAAAATAGTAAAACCTCTTTTATTACGTCTATGTTTCATTATAACCCTTTCATATTACAGATTGTAGTCCTCGCTGCGCTTGTCGCCATCTCCTCTGCCAAACCCGCATTGGTAAGCGCCCCGTTAGTAGCAGCTGCACCTGCCGTAGTCACAGCGTCCAGCTCGCAGTACTACCACCGCTATAACAGCGGTTTAGCTGCCTACGTTGCTGCACCCGCTGCCTACGCTGCACCTTACATTGCCGCTCCGTACGTGTCAGCTCCGTACGTGTCAGCTCCGTACGTCTCAGCGCCGTACGTCGCTGCACCCGCTCCCATCGTTGCCGTTTAAATAACTAAACTGATTGCTGTTCTAACTCATTGTGATACTACGACTTACTCATTATTATTTTATGATTCAGTAATAAAAAAATTGTTATAATGAAGTTTTAGAAATGTTCTTTTCTTATTTTAATTACTTAAGATATGTTTCTTAATGGCTTTACAATACTAAAACTACATACGCTACTTAGCTCAAAATTAGATTAATTTTACAAAACTAGTAGAAGCAAATTCATGCATCAATTTTTATAAGATGAATGTAGCACCTTCTGATTTCAACGATGGTTTTCATTTTTATTAGCTTTATTCAATACAGGTTTAGATTTGGCTTCAAATTTTATTTGTCTAATTTTCAGAAACAATTTGGGATTTTTAACAAACATTCTTTAGAAATAAGAAGTATCACTATTTAAAATTACTCCAACGTGATATTATTAGAAGGAGAAAGTATGTGCGCAAACTTGATTTAAGAAAGTATAAGTGGACTACCAGAAGTGCTTTTGCTTTTTGCACGTGCAGCTACAGGTAGCTGAGACGTGGAAAAAATCTTTTAGTATCCCCAAAAAAATTTTGTCTATATTCAAAATAATCTGCCGCCTCACAAACTAAAATATTGAATTAGTAACACACATAACTCTTTATATTCACGTGATCGTGATTTTCATTGCTTAGAAAGTCAACCAGACTAAAGTAACAAAACACTCCCAAAATTGAATCTCTTACAAACATAATATAATTAACAGTCTGCTAACTTTTTATAATGTAAAGCAGCACGGCGCTTATATAACATTTAACCTTATAATTACTAACAAACGAGAAGCTGGTTGAAGATTAAATTTGTCAAATATTTCTTGCTTTTAAGTCTTTTTCTTCCAAAGATAATGCCCAAATAAAATAAGTATATAACTAAACGAATGGTAGATCTAATCAACTACATAAAAAAATGTTAAATTCTTAATATCCTTAAATATTTAATATTATTGGTTACCATAGTATCATAGTACTGTTATTATGCATCAGTAATTTTACTCTAAGGACACTTTCTGTACATTATTTCGAATTTACTTAGGAATGTGTGTATTTAACAATGTATAAAGCAATAGGTTTTAATACCAACACGACATCTTGTGTCGAGTCCGAAGCATTGTTCTTTTATGTAAATAATCTTGTATGTTAAGCGATTTGTCAATACGCTTAATCTAAGAATATTAATATGTTATTACATGTACGGATTTACCAAGCTTATCCAGGCACTTGGCAGAGTGCCCTGTATTTCAAAGGAGCGTTTATTTTACTGAAGTATAAATAATTCTAGTTAGGGTATGAAGGTTACAGGGTATATAGCTGAAATACGAAACATGGAATTGGATATATGACATAACTGTGAGGGACAAGGCTAGTACATTAGATTAGAAAAGGCTGAAAGTAGCGCCAGTGAACTAAGGAGCTGTGAAGCTGAGGAGAAATAAATTATCGTGATAATAACATGTGTGTGGAAAGAAGAGACAAATATAGTGAAGAGACTCTTATGTATGGAAGTTAGACAACCAAAAACCATTCTGCATGAAAGAGGATGTGACTGCAAGAGGAATAAATGAAAGTAAATAAGGAATAATAGAGTAAGATACTGTTTTTGCTCTCCAATAAATTTTGGGAAATAGCAGGAAGATTATGATGAGAGAGTAGTGTTTTTATTTGCAACTTTTAAGTATCAGAGATATAACATAAAGGTTAGAAACACTACTGACTACTGTTCTTACTTTGTCACCTTATCACACTGTTGTAAAAATGCAAAGAGGAATAAATACGAATATTTACATCCATTTGAAAGTTTACGGAAACATTGACAACTAACAATTCTTCGATATTAATATCGATCGACAACTTACCAAGAGAATTGTAACACTGCAACCTTAAATGCTAATGCCATTTTCGTGCCAGATAAAGCCTAGCATTTTCGTCACATCAAAATTTCTTTGCAACCCAAGTAACAGGGTCTTTACAGCTAGTATTCCATTATTTTAATTACCAATATGGCTACCGTACTAGAATAGAATTTTTCTAATTAATCATTTCTATTATCATAAATATTTTATATAGAATTACAACAATTGATTTGACGGGCCTGTTGGTCTAGTGGTTAGTGACACTGACTGCTAAGCCAGGGGTCGAATGTACTGGGTCTACCAATAGGGATGACCTGGTTTTGAGAGCTCATAGCGGCCATGTTTGATTATGGATCTTTGACGTCTCTTGACATTTGTGTTCAGTAAGGTTTGCCATTTTATCATGTCACGTTTCACTTTAAACTCCTTCTGTGCGTGCTATAAATCATAATAACAAAATTTGAAAGTGAATTCACTCTCCACGATACTGCTGTGCCTGTGAGACAAAGAAATGCCCGTAGTGAAGAGAATATCGCAGCCGTTCAGGCCAGTGCTGATGCGAATTCAAATCGATCAGTTCAACGCCGTTCACAAGAGTTGGGGCTCTCTCCAATGACCACCTGGCGTATTTTGCGGTTGGATTTGGGCCTACACCCATACAAAATTGTTTTGGCACAAGAATAGCCATCCGACTACAATGGTCGTGAATTTGCCGATTATGCACTGGAAATGATGGAAGCCGATGACGATTTTCATCGTAAAATCATCTTCTCAGATGAGGCCCATTTCTGGCTCAATGGATTTGTTAATAAACAAAATTGTCGCTATTGGAGTGAGTCAAATCCACGTGTGGTTTTTGAATCACCATTGCATCCGCAAAAAATAACAGTCTGGTGCGGTTTATGGTACGGTGGAATCATTGGTCCGTACTTCTTTGAAAGTGACGAAGGAAACCCTGTTACTGTGAATGGCGAGTGTTAACCGAATATTTCTTTCCGGAATTTGATGATATTGATGCAGACGACCTTTATTTTCAAAAAGACGGTGCACCACCTCATATTACTCGAGTGAACATGGAATTATTGCGTGGAAAGTTTGGTGAGTCGTTAATTTCGAGAAATGGACCCATCACTTGGCCACCAAGATCGTATGATTTAACACCTTTAGACTATTTTCTTTGGGGTTACGTTAAATCTAAAGTGTACAGCAATAATCCAGCTACAATTTGTGACCTAAAAACCAACATTCGACGAGCCATAGCCGACATACCGGCCGAAATGGTGCACCGCGTCATCGAAAATTGGCGTGAGCGGGTGATCGTCTGTAAAAAGAGCTGCGGCGGTCATTTGGCCGATATATTATTTAAAACATAAATTGCATAAAATTATCTATCAAATAAATTAATCGGATGCATTTTTCATAAAAAAATGAGTGATTTATTAAATTTTTAAACCAGGACGTTCTTATTAGTAGACCCCATATTATTATTATTTTTATATATAACTATGTTTATCAGCAGTCTCGTTACCATAGCACAGGCTATGCCTAGGTTGGAATCAGACGGCAGTGTGTGAGATGTGTGAGGTATATTAATAATTCTGATAGTGGCTCGCTTTTTACTTCTGTATTCTAAACGAAGAGAAAATTCATACACAACTCCGATCCAAATAAAATAAGCAAATAATTCCAACTGATACCAACGCCTGAGGCGTATCTTTATCCTCCTTAAAGATCTTGTAGTTCTCATTTATCAATATGTGCATTATTTCTGTTTCCAGATATACCTACGTTCTGCGTACAATTTTTCTTTGCTTTCTGACTCCAAAGGAACAAAATTTGAGTTTTGTAATATTTGTTACGCAAGAATCACTAAACAAAAACCCATAGTTGGCTTTGTATTAATAAAATACCTTTGAAGTCCATAAGTATTTCTTATTTGTTTTTAAAGACGGTACAAAAAATACTTCTTTGTTAAGAAACTGGAATACTGAAACCTTACCAATATCGTTTCCGTCACACATCGTGCTACAGGTAAATATGTAAACAGGTAATCGTTTGTTACGATAAATAAATTTCTCAAGGTGTTGCTCTGGCTTTGATATTAAAGAAGAAAGTATTATCAGTGTTAAATTTAAAATGCAATGGTTTATAAAAATGGTTATTAGCTGATTGGCTTAAGGACTTTTAATCTTACCACCAATCTGTAATAGTGACCATATCAACACGTCAAAAACATATATAATACATAATATATACATAATTATTGCTATTTAGCAGTACAAGCATAGGTACTTAATAAAATGTTATACTGTTTTGTAATAAACTTATTTTTTAAGAATGCATTGTTTACAAAAAGTTGTTAAATTAATTTTTGTGGGAGAGCCATGCCTTGGCACGTATAGGAATGCTCTACCGGAGTGATACGACAGCCTTACAGAAACCGGTGCTTAGTTATTCTTTCATTGTTTTTCACCGAGCGTGGTCAGCGGAGGCCCAAACCAATACTAGGGGAAGGAGGCACTCGAAGGTCGATCACATAATTGTGCCACTGAGGTTGCAGATCTATAGACCCGTCAAATCGTTTGCCACCTATTTTATGAAAAACTAACTCGATCATATTACTTGTCTTATTATTATTGTCTTTATTCGAAAACAATTTTATGTTGTAGTAAATAAAATACTTTCACATATTACTATTAAATATATCACTCTGATTTCTTGAACTAATATTATATCTACATAAATTTGCGAATGGAAATTTAGAAACTACGATTCATTAAGCAATGCATCTCTTTTTTTATGTTTGTTGGGGATAAAAATGGTGACTCCCGCTCCGGCTCGTTTCTGGTGCAAAGGATGTCCGTTGCAATTCAGCGAGGCAATGCTGCCAGTATCATGGGCACCTTTGCACCAGGAGCAACGCAAAGCGGGTTATATGATCTGACTTGAATAAAAAAAAATGTTATTTAAATTGATTAAAATTAGACCTACATATTACATAAAAGTAATACATTAAACGGTATACATTTAATAATGGAAATGTTTATTTGAAATGATACCAGGTAGAATGGGTATACGAGTAAATAGTAGGCTTAAACTTTAATTTGTAATTGGATACCCGTTTTCGCAGTTTCAAAGAAAAACAAATATACTCGTATGTTACGATATAAGTATCCACTATCCATCCATATACATACATACACACACACAGACCGTGTGAGACACGACGTGTCTCACACGGTCTGTGTGACCTCATAATTGTGTATTAGTATTAGTAGTGTATTTTATTTTTATTTCGATTTACTAAATTAAGTATGTGCTAGCAAAAATAACAGATAATTCGTAATAATATTTTGGAACCACTAGCTGTTTTCAATACTTAAATATAAATGTAAAAGTGTGTTTGTTTGTTACGCCTACACGCTTAATTCACTAAACCGATTTAAAAAATCTTTTAACCCTCTAACCGACACCCACGCAGGCGCAGCCTCGGGCAAAAACTTATATTTTATAAGTCCTAAATAGCACTACTAAAAACAAAGAGCATAATATCTCAATTTTTTTTTATTATTATAGTCATGAATCAACAGTGATTTTATCGTAATTTCACAATCATTTAATTTATATATATATTTATATATATAATTAAATTATCGTGTAATTATACAGCAACAAGGGGAGCAGGTGCAGCGATGTATGGTGCAGAGAGGTACGGAGCAGCGTACGAAGCGGCAACGTAAGGGGCAGCGGCGGGTGCTACGTAGGCAGCAGGTGCAGCAACGTAGGCAGCTAAGCCGCTGTTGTAGCGATGGTAGTACTGCGAACTGGATGCTGTGACTACGGCTGGTGCAGCCGCTACTAGTGGAGCACTCACTAATGCTGGTTTGGCGGAAGACATAGCGACGAGCGCAGCGACAAGTACGACCTTTAAAAAAAATGGTCAAACAAAATTGGAAGTAAGTGGTAAGTCAAATCTTTTGTAGAGACCTTTAATCCTATAATAACTATTTTACTATATTCAGTATCTCTAAGCCACACAAAACTTAACTGTCTTGGTAATATAAAATTTTAAATGTAATACAGTTTTCAACATTATTGACACTACTATCTCATTTATTTTGTACATATAAAACTACTTTCCACGTTAAAACTCATTCTATTGGAATAGTTCAATGAAATCAAGTTTTCAGTATTACGCACATCACTTTCCGTTAACAACTAATAATTTAATATACAGGTAACTTTTTGTAAACAGAACACTCACAAATTTCATCATTTTGCTGGATTTGTTAGGTTGTGCTGTTACTTTTTGAAGATGCGTCTTGTGTGCACGCATTTGCTTTATATACAAAGTGGTAGCAACAGTGTTGCAATCGGGCATTCTCGCATTTTGTCATTGACTATTGCGATGATTCATACAGAAGACCTCCACGGTGTCTTTTAAATTATTAAAGAAGATATTTGAAGGTATTGTCCAGAAAAGCTTAGACATGTAAAGTTAGATACCAACAATACGATTTATGGTAATCATTATATTTAATTGTGTGGTGTTATTGCCAAAAGTTTTTGTAAATATATTGTTCTTAATTAATTATAATCGACTAGAATAAGATTTATCTAGAACCTTAATATTCTGAAATGAAAGCCCCACTTGAATCAAAAGATTTTTTTTATTTAATCGAATAGTGGGCACGGTCACCTGATGGAAAGTGACTACCGCCGCCCACTAACGTGTGCTACTCAGGAGTAACAAACGAGTTGCAGTTGACTTTATTCTGATAAAGTCATCCACCTTGCATGAAATGGTGGTGTATAGCTTGCCTCTCATCCTTAAGTGCAACGGTGTGGATATTCATATGCCGTTTATAAGCTTATGACTTTACACATCTTTACATATCTCACACACGGCAGTCTGGTCCCAAACTAGGCAGAGCCTGTATCATGGTAACCAATCTGCTGATAAACATACATATGTATTTCTAAATACATATGTACAAGTACAAGAGCATGTGGAAAGCTCTACAGGAATGCGAAGTACCAGCAGAGACTATAGATCTTATAAAAGACATCTACCACAAAAGCAAAAGTCGTGTAAAACTGGAGAGACGGGGTCCCGAAATAAACATTTGTAGAGGCGTCAGACAGACCCCCTGTCACCTAGAATTTTTATAGCTGTACTCCAAAGTATAATGAAAACCCTGAACTGGGAAAGAAAAGGTATTAATATAAATGGGGAACTCCTCAATAATCTTCGATTCGCGGACGACATCATACTCTTATCTGAAACAGCATCCCAATTACAGAAAATGATAAACGAAATATACGACGTAAGCAGTGCGATTGGCCTAGAACTAAATGTTTCCAAGACTAAAGTCATGACAAACCACCACATTATACCAATAAGTGTCAATAACAATTCATTGAAATATGTTCAAAACTATATTTACCTGGGACAACAAGTATCCTTCGCTAAGACCAGACACGAAACTGAGATAAAAAGACGAATTAACATAACCTGGAACAAATTCTGGAGCAATAAAGAAACCCTAAAATCGAAACTCCCTATGATAATAATGAAAAAAATAATGGACTCATGTATCCTACTGTGTCTTACGTATGGCTGCCAAACGTGGATATACAATAATAACACTAAAAACAAAATACAAGTGTGCCAGAGGGCGATGGAACGAAATATACTAAACATACAAAGAAAACACAGAAAAAGAAATACAGAAATAAGAGAAACCACAAAATTAATAGACGCTTTGGAACACTCTCAAAAACTAAAATGGTCATATTGCACGTATGGACAAGGAAAAATGGACACTGAGAGTAACTACCTGGCAAGGACCAACAAGCAAAAGAAAAAGAGGTAGACCGAGAGAAAAATGGGTTGATGAAATAGTTAGAAAAGCCGGTGACAACTGGTTCACAAAAGCAAATGACAGACAGACGTGGAGCAAAATGGAGGAGGCCTTTACCCGTTGAGGGGTCCACATTGAATAATATGAATCGATCTAAAAAAAAAAAAATATTTATTTAGAAACTTATTTAAAATGACGAATGATATACATATTATACTACTGTTATATAATAATCATTGTATCAATTGTAATATTTTAATAATTCATGCATGCACTTCATATGTACTTTTAATTCCTGATTTACTTATATTTGTTTTGTAATAATAATAATAATTAGTAGGTAACTGTCAATAACCAAACACATGTTTGTAAAAAAGAGTAACATAATATGGCTGCACATATCGCCAGAAAAACCAGACGTTCTTTATTAGCTTAACTTACATTAATTTACATAAACAATTTGTTTTGCTTTGACGTCTGGCCTTGCTGTAAACATGTTAGATACCATAATGAAATTAAAGTCAGAAATTATGATTTTATAACATTTTCTATTGTTATACGAAAACGTTAAATGATTTTTTTATTTCGGTACAAGGTCTGACCAAGGATTCCAAATAATTTTACCAGATAAATAGGTCAAATAGGTCCAGGAGAGACACGTCTCAATTTGTTTGTTTTGCAACAAAAGTTAATACCTATACTGTCGGAGGTGTTTTCAAGTCAACAAGTCTTTTACTTTCACAAAAATCTTTTAAAATTATAATATTTCAATTTTTTTTATGTGGCCTCTAAAGATATATGTGTATATACAGGAGTATATATACAGTACATATGTATATATGTAATAAGTTTCCGCCGTCTTTTGTCAAAAAAATAATATTTATTGTGAAAGAACGGTCGTTTAAATTTAAACGAAGTATTGTCGATCACTAGCAACTACTTTTTCCCATCTTTTAGGCAGTAATTGGATTCCACGTCTGACGAACTACATATCTTTTGAGGCTATCCACGAATCAACCCAACTTTTGGTATCTCTAAATTTCAAGTAAGTGTTCATCTTGCGAATTCTAACGTAAACCTTATGCCATGCCATCTCTCTCAAAACGGTGGAAACTTATTTGTACTCCTAATAATAATATATATATTATAATATATACTTCCCACTTGACGATAACCGGCTGGAGCGCCTCCACAGTGGAAAAGTCAGCACGTGGAATCTCCAACCGAGAGGACCAACGAGCCATGCCACTTGCGTACCTTTTCGGGCGGGGGACGACTGCCACTATTCCCTCGACCACAGCCGTCCGCCAATATACCTCGGGTAGCACTTCCGCCCCGAAAGCCTAGGGGGAAGTTCCGGCCAACGCGCATGCCGCCTCCGTTAAAACGGTCCGGTAACTGCGTACGGCTCTAACCGCCAATTTCCTCTGAGGACACCAAAGGCGTGCCCTACTCCTGGCGGTCAGAGTACATCGGTGCAGCGTGTAGTGCCATTGACCGGACAACTCCCATGTACATCCAATGTGTATGCCATCTTGTCATGACGCCGGATACACACTAATTGGGTAAACAAATATTTCAGCTGGGCCTGAACCGGTACGAGGAGCGAGTTGACCACGATTGAGACGCCGTGGGGTGGCACCACCACAGGGCCACTTGTTTTAAATAAACAGATAGATCCAATAACATCATTAAGATACACCACAATTTAGTTTAAATTGGCTAATTTGCTGATTAAATTTATCATTGCTAAATTAATTAGTAAGATATGAAAACATTGCTTAGTATTAAATAGAATATAGAATCAGAATTGTACTGAATCTCTTCCAGGATAAAGTTTATCAACATGAAATCTCTATTTAAATTGGTATTATTTGTCATTTATAGGCATTTCTTTAAAATTGTACTTGGGCAAATAAGACCATGAACCGAGCGGCTAATAATCGCATAAGAATTCAGACGCCTTTTTAAATATTGTTAGCAAGCGTAAACTATGAGAAACGTAAATAAGTATCTGCTAGGCGCCATATACTCGTTACTCGTACAGTAGTTTTACACATTATCTTTATGGAAAATTAACAACAATAAGCTTAGCTTGATTAGAAGTATTAAAGATTTATCAGAAATTAGGTTTGTTTTATTTGTGGTTGTTAGATATAACTCTGTATAATAACTCAAATCGTGTCAGGTATACAAAAAAAGTAGAAAATATTCAACCCACGTTATAAGTAGATCTTTAATCTTTACAGCATACAAATTGTAGGCGTCATACTGAAAGTGGCACAACATGGTGTTACTTTTTGTTAATTTTAAAACAAGACTTCCAACGTTTGTAGCTTGCGGCTTGACGTTGATGCCGAAATCTCTTATTTAACGCAAACCCTTGAAAACTTGTCTCACAATAATTCTATTTATAAGTTTAATACGACCTTGAACAAATATAATAATACCTACTCACCTGTAAATATATAAGACATTATTTTCATTTAGTTTGCTTCTTTCCATTTTACTAAACATAAGACTAGGCAAATACTAAGTTTGTATTGGCCTTGAATATTTAGTTCGCCTGTATTAAATAATACAAAGGCTGTTGAAAAATGAGTGTGCTATTAAAAAGTAAAAATAAATATTTACATCTAAGCTGAAGAAATGTATATATAAATAATATAAATATAAGAAGGGCTGGATGAATAGTTTTGCCCCTTCTTGGTGAGACGCCACAAATGTTAGCCAGGTCTTGATGGGCGTGAGTCATTCACCACGACATTGGTAAAAAAACAGGTTCTCTTGATTAAGAAGAAATATAGTTTGATTTAGAAAGACTACTCCTAGTACTCCTTCCTAAAAGGCCGGCAACGCGTTTGTGACTCCTGGGTTGCAGACGTTCATGGGCGGCGATAGTCACTTTCCATTAGGTGACCCGTCTGCTCGTCTGCCCCCTCTAACATAAAAAAAAAAAATCTTTTTGTTTTCTTTTCTAGTTAAAAAATAGATATATTAGATACATAAATTATTTGAAAGTGGACCTTTCAAATAATTTCTGTTTCTAATACGACTATTTTTCGCCACAATCCCAAGTTAGTATTGCCTTTAAACATCTGTACACTTGATTCCTTGATACTTTCAAACTATCTCTACTATTCAGATGTTACCGGTTTTGTAAATGGATTAGTAGTATAGCTGATTATTCTAGTATCCTGTTGCTGATCAGCTGTTAGCAACAATACGCTTAAAACTGACTTCAGACGATTCCAGTGGGACAATTGATGATGACAATTACATAAATCAGTACACAGTAGTTAATTTTATCCTTTGGTTTAAAGGCATTAAAATAAATAAGTTCGTCAAAACTGGCCTTTTCATTGCACGTCCTATGGAAAATCTGTCCGCTATCAAAAGTCTGTCCTATCCGATGTCGATTTTAGACATTTACAATACTGTACCGGGTATGGTAACCAGACTGCTGATGAACCTACGTATTTATACCTAAACTAGCAGAGACCCGCGGTGTTACCCGCGTTTGTTGTTATAACCGCGGGCAACGCCGCGGGGCGAAGCTAGTCTAAACAAAGTAGCCTAAGTTACTCCTTATGTCATCAGCTATCTGCCAGTGAAAGTCCCGTCGAAATCGGTCCAGACGTTCAAGAGATTACCCGGAACAAACAGACAGACAGACAGACAAAAATTGTAAAAAATGTTATTTTGGCATATGTACCGTGTAAACATACATATGCATTTAGTAAAAAGCGGTTATTTTAATATTACAAACAGACACTCCAATTTTATTTATTTGTATAGATGTATAGATACATACATATCATGGATTACATCCAAACACAGAAGATCGTGTTCATCACACATTTATTTGTCCTGGGTGGGAATCGAACCTACAACCTTCGTTTTAGCAGTAGAGACCATTAATCACTAGCCGAGCAGGTCACTCTAACTAATAATGTGCGATATTTGGCTATTTATAATTCAAAACAGGTCGTAAAATTCGAGTAAGGAAAAACAAGTAGACAAACTTGCAATTTGCTGACTTTTATTAAAGCGATCTTGTTCTAGTTGCTTACTTTTAATGCTGCCTTCTTATCACACTCACGTGAGTATGTAAATATCGATACTGTAAATCTACAAACTAGATGCTTTTGAAAATATTACTGGCTAAGAATAGTTTTTTTACATAGTTGATCTACATACAGTAAAATTGGGAGCTCAATTATTGTTATCTTTTTAATTATTTATTATATTTATACATTACATAAATACGTCCTCAATATTATCTCCAGTAAATTTCTGTAGGTTTAGTTCACTGGATTCGTTAGGGAACTGATAAAAAATGGAATAGTTGTTATATGTACATAATTTGTCTTAAAATTAAACATAAAACTTGTTAACTTTTGCCTCTTAGTTGGAAATATCTAAGTAAATTTCCTATAACCACGCATTCTACTTATGTCTATTACACAAAAAAAACTATAGTAGGTTAGTAGGTGCAGTAAATAGGCAAATACAATATTACAAGTAATGTCTGGTACGTTGGTACTTTCCAAATGACCCATCGTTATTATTCTTTCGACGTTTTCAATACGATTTTTGTAGCCATCAAGGTCCGTGTCCTTACCCATTGGACCATTAGGTATTCTGCGACACCCGCTACATTGCCTCACCACGATGCAAAATTTGTTACACCTATATAAAAGCGAGGGCTACATATCCTAACGCCCGCATTATAATATCAAAAGCGGCCGGAACGGGACATCAATATGCTCCGAACGGTAATATTAATTTTAAAAACAAAAACATTATAATTCTATATCTTAAGTTTTGACATTAATTCCACACTTTATTTCCAGGTCTTATCATTGACACTAATATGTGGTTTGGTGAAAAGCTCCGGGGTTGGGGTTGCTCCTCTGCCTCTTGCAGGATCCATTCCACCATTAGCAAATGCTCCAGTTGTTACAGCTGCAAGTTCCCAATACTTTGAAAGGACCTTCAACCGTCTTGTGGTTCCTCCAGTGGTAGCACCAGTTGCATCAGTGGTACCTCCTCCACTGGCTCCTGTAATTCCATTACCTCCCGCGCCTACAGTATTTGTTGAACCTACTAGAAATGTACCAGTAGTTGTCAACACACAACCATCATCACCACCACGGCAACCAGATCAACCTAACATTGCCATAGCAGTTGCGACAGCACACGCCGCAGCTCCTGTTGCTACTATATTGTTACCACCATACCCATTTGGATTTCCGCCAACCTTTGGATTTATACCCTCTGAACAACCAACCAATAATCCTGACGAAAATACCAAAGAACCAACAACACAAAAAAGTACAGAAAAGGAAGCTACAACAACTCCGGAACCTGCTATCGTACCTGTAGATGCATCAAACAGTGACAATAACGTTGTGCAAGCTTTACCTTCAAATGAAGATATAAATTTCAATCTCTATGGCCCTCCACCACAAGGGTCTAGGCCACAATTCCAACCACTGCCTCAACCACAAGCTCCTAACGGACAGTTTCAACCTCAAATACCGAACCAACAAAAGCCAAATCCACAATTTCAGCCGCACCAGCCTAATCCTCAATTTCAAATCCAACAGCCGAATCTACAGTTCCAACCTCAACGACCAAATCCGCAGTTCCAACCACAACAACCAAATCTGCAGTTTCAACCACAACAGCCAAATCTGCAGTTTCAACCTCAACAACCAAATCCGCGGTTCCAACCACAACAACCAAATCTACAATTCCAACCTCAACGACCAAATCTGCAGTTTCAACCACAACGACCAAATCCGCAGTTACAACCACAACAGCCAAACCCGCAGTTCCAATCGCAACAACCAGAGTTTCCACCATACCCGCCACATCAGCAACCTCAGCTACAAATCCAACCTCATCAAAGGCCGTTGCAATCGAAACAACAACACTGGAACAAGCCAAAAGGAAGACCACAAAAACTAAAAACATCAGTGGAAGTAGTACCAGTACCGTTGGCTTACATCACTCCACCACCTATTCACAAAACTCACTCCCATGTAAAAATTCTGAAACATATTTACTCCTACGCACCAGCATCTAGTCCTAAAATAATTTTAAAACATGTTAAGGTGCACCCTGTTCGACTGGTGAGACATAAAGTTGTTGGTGTCCGTTTACAAAACCTTCGAGCTAATGATAGAGATATTGAAATTACTACCGTTAATCCTTTTCGAAAGCCCAATACTAAGCCGCCAAGGGTATAACATTTAAGTTTTAGTTAATTATTCACTTGTTAATGCATTTGCACGTTGTTAATGTAAATGAATATTATAGATATTTATATTTTGTATGTTTTTGTTTTAATTATTCTTTTTCATTTATAGTTGTGTGAACATTAATTAATTCCTCTCAAGGCGGAACTCTTTCTAGTGTTTCACAGTGTGTATTAATATATAAACGATTTATAGAAATAGATAGATGTTCAAAAGGATGAAAAATAATAGAAAAATTTCATGCGTAGGATAAAATGAGCCATCAGAATTGCGTTACACCATTTCCAACACGTTTAGTTCATTTCATTGTTAAGTAGCATTTGTTGCTTGTAGTCTTGGCCTAGACCGACGAGACGTTTTTACGTTACGCAAGTTTTGAATGACAAACGCACATGACATGCATTCTTAATGTCAATAGACGTTTAAAGTAATGTAACGAAAGTGACATTTGTATGACAAACAAGGGGGTTACCTATGAATAAATTGTAGGGAATATTTTAGCACTTAATAAAAATAAGTGTGCAAAGTATGAAGCAATGAAATTTTGTTTACATTTGTAATTTTTAATAATAAAAATATTGTTAATTTTGATGACTGAATGATAGAAACATCAAAGGCGTATAAAACGGGTATGCAGGGGCCCTGTTCTCATGTGTTTTTTTTTATATCATATGGCACAGCATAGCAGACGATTCACCAGATGATTAGGGACTACTCACGGATACTCCAGAGTCACAAGAGCGTTGATGCCTTTTGAGTCCTTACCCCTCGAGTAAGGCTCCACAGCTCCATTCGCCTCACTCACTTGATGCAAATCAATAAAAACTGCTTAACACTGTGAGGTGACGAATTTAGAATACGGAGTGTCACCGCCCCTTTTCATCCCGTGGGTGTTGTAAGAGCCGACTAAGGTCGCAAAATACGCAAGACAACAGCACTGCAAAGAGAAGGAAAACTTGAAACAAACCCTTTTTTTTTTTTTTTTTTTTTTAACGTGTGGAAATCCCCTCGGACCGTCACCCCTCCGGGGTTTGCGGCGGGGTGGTGTGTCGGACTCGGACCGACTAAAACCACACGGTGTGCCACTCTGCGCCTGTAACAGGAGGGATCCGGGAACAGCTGTTGTTAAGACATCCGGACCCCTTCTAGCGCCAGCCCGCTCCTGGTGCGGGCTCCGTCTCAATGTGGATGTTCCTCTCTTTAGGCGACGTCCGGCACACGCGGACACCGCCCCCTCGCGGCTGGCCAACTAATGCGGGTGGAGGGGAAACCCACCCCGTCCACCCGCGGCCACACTCAGGGCGGCATGAGGCTGTGATAGGCGGGCCTCCGCCGCCCGGTTCGCCGGCGGCGGATCGGGTCCGAGTGGAGGTCGTCCTCCCGGGCCCTCTCCGCCGCCTCCTTCCGCGAGATTACTACCTCGCAGAAGGTTGCGACCGCGGTAAAACAACTGTCGCTACCGGCCATGGAGCGTACTACGGCCGGTAGCGAGAGATCCACTCCGATGACTGCAGTGAGGGCCCGGCGCTGCGCCGCCCATGCGGGGCAGACCGCCAGCGTGTGCTGGGCCGAGTCCTCATTGTAGTCGCAGTGGTGGCAGGCGGGACTCAGTTCCCTCCTAGCGACTGTGTGCAGGTACTTTCCGAAGCAACCGTGCCCGGAAAGCACCTGCGTCAGCCGGAAGGAAAGGGTCCCGTGCTGCCGCCCTGCCCACTCGGCGATGACCGGCTGGAGAGCCTCCACGGCGGCGAAGCCAGCGCGTGGAGTCTCCAGCCGGAACGACCAACGAGCCATCGTGGCTCGGCGAGCGGCTTCGCGCCACTCGCGCACATCATCGGGCGGAGGGCGAAATCCGCTCTCCGCCCGGGAGTCAGCCACTCGCCGATAAACTTCGGCGAGCACTTCCGCCTCCAAATCCCACGGGGGAGTTCCGGCCAACGCGCACGCCACCTCCGTCGAAACGGTGCGGTAACCGCGTATGGCTCTGACCGCCATTACCCTCTGAGGGCGCCAGAGGCGTACCCTATTCTGGGCGGTCAGAGCCGCCGCCCACACCGGTGCACCGTACAGTGCCATTGACCGGACAACCCCCGTGTACAGCCGTCTTGTCGCGACGCTGGGTCCACCCATATTGGGCAAAAGTCGCCCTAGGGCAGACGCAGCGCCGACCAGCTTTGGAGCAAGCTGTCGGAAGTGCTCGTCGAAGAGCCACCTCCCGTCGAGGATCAGGCCCAGATATTTCATCTGGGCCCGAACCGGTACGAGGACCGAGTTGACCACGATTGAGGCGCCAGGGGGTGGACCACGACGGGGCCCATGGAATAACAGGGCCTCCGTCTTATCTAGGGCCACCCGTAAGCCCAGCGCCTCAATGCGCCCGACCACCAGGGAGACTCCCCCTGTGGCCAGGCGCGCCGCCTCTTGGAAGTTTGCCCCCCGGGCTGTCACGAGGGTATCGTCTGCGTAACAGGTTACACCCAGCCCGGGGGGGAAATCGGCGCGAAGGGCCCAGTCGTACCCTATGTTCCACAAGAGGGGTCCAAGAACAGACCCCTGTGGAACACCGCACGACATGGGCCGAGACCTCAGATTACCTTCTCGGTCCTCGTACACGACGGTACGCTCCTCTAAATAGTCTGCCACTAGCCGCCTCAGGTACTTTGGCACCCCATGATAGTGGAGTGCTTCCCTGATGCAGCTGAATGGCAGACTATTGAATGCGTTGGCGATGTCCAATGACACCGCCAACAGCACGCCGCCACAGCTCACGGCCTCTTCGGTCACGGCCCTCAGGCGCAACACGGCGTCGACTGTCGAACGCCCCGCCCGAAAACCAAATTGGGCGTCCGACAGATCGGGGCCCACCTCGCAGAGGTGCCGGACGATGCGGGCAGAAAGAACCCTCTCAAACAATTTGCCCGCCTCGTCCAGCAGCACGATGGGCCTATAGGCCGCGACCGAATCGGCTGGCCGTCCCGGCTTCCTCAATAGGACCAGCTTCCCGCTTTTCCAGCACTCAGGGAAGCGTCCCGACGCCAAGCTAGCGTCGAACATCTCCCCGAGGCGGTCTGCCATGTGGTTGAGGGCCAGGGCCAGCACTAGGGCCGGTACCCCGTCTGGCCCAGGGGCGGAGTTCTTGGAACGGATCCGTAGAACAGCCGCCCCTACCTCCGAATCCCGGACGGGCGGAACATTATCCTCCCCGTGCTCCCCGTCGTCTCCGGCCAGGGAGGCCATCGACGGGGGAGTGTGTTCCGCCCGTTGTGGGAAAAGGCCCTCAACCACTTCTCGCAGGAAGCTGGGCTGGAGAGTCTCCGTAAGGGGGAGGCCCGACGCGCGGAGCTTTTGTCGCACCGCGCGGTAAGGGCGACCCCAGGGGTCACGATTAAGACCCTCCAGCATCTCCTGTCTCTTTTCTTCTTTGGCGCGGCTAATGGCCAGCTTCAGAGTTTTCCGCGCCCGTCGGTACTCCTCATGAAGCCGGTCCTCCTCACCGTCTCCACGGTGACGCCGCCGACTGCGCGTGTAGGACCTCCGGGCACGTGTACAGGCCGCACGGAGGTCCGCCAGCTCCTGGGACCACCAGTAGACCTCCTTCCTTGGAGGCCGACGACCTCGAATGCGGGGCATGGCCGCATCGCAGATATGCGTAATCGCATCGCGAAAGCGGCCAGCCCCCACGTCGACCTCCTCGGTCGGAGCCTGAGGAGACAGCCACGAGTGAATTATGGCTGCCTCCTCTAGTAGGTCCCGGTTCAGTCTGGCAACAGCCCACCGCGGAAAGCGGGATAAACGCCGCGCCACGTGACCCCTACTGGAGTCCTGGGTCCGGGAGAGCTCAAATCGGATATAGAGATGATCCGAGAGCGTCTCAACCTCTTCCAGGACACGCCAGTTCCTTACTCGTGCGGCGAGGGCAGGGGTAGCGAACGAAAGGTCCACTATCGACCCCCCCTGCTGTCGCACGCACGTGTTGGTGGAGCCTCTGTTGAGGAGACAGAGGCCCACCGAGGCCGCCCCACTCCTCTACGGCCTCGCCCCTTGCGTCCGTCCTGGGGGAACCCCACGCAATGGACTTTGCGTTGAAGTCCCCCAGCACAAGGACGTGCCCAGACGCTAGTCGCCGTATCGAGGTCTCCAAGCTGGTTAGGAAAACCTCGAAGTCGTTCAAACTCCGGTTGGGGGAGAAATAGACACCATATATGGTGATCCCCCCCCACTCGACGGCAACATATCCAGTGCCCTTGTCTCTTAGCGACAAGGGCGGGGAATGAGCCGTCGTGGAACCGACGACTGCCACGGAGCCGTCCCAGTCACCCATCCAGTTTGGACGGGGAGGGACAGAATAGGGCTCCGCGACTACGGCAACACCTATCGACCACTGTGCCATGGTTTGCAGGAAGAGATCCTGCGCCGCGGCACAGTGGTTCAGGTTCGTCTGGACCAGGAGGCTGGAGACCCGATCCATTACTGGATCGTCTCTACAGCCTCCTCCATGGGCGACGACGTCGACGCACGAACTACATCGGAGGCAGCCTGAGTCGACTGGCTAGCCCCCGATGCTTGCTGAGAGTTGCGGGGAGGCTTGCAGCCCCCCTGCCCCATCTGATGATTGGCGGGCTTGTTACCCGCCGCACACACCGGGCAGTGAGGGGCGGCAGAGCATTCCACCGCCACATGCCCCGGTCGACCACAGCGGAAACATAGTCCGCTGCAGTCGAAGCAGCTTTGGCACTTGACGCGCGTGTGCCCCGATGCTAGGCATTTGTAACGCCTCATCGGTCTCGCCGCCAGGACTGTGATCCTAGCGCTCACGAAACCGATGAGCAGCCTGCCGGCGTCGGCCAATACTTTGGCCGACGCTACGGGACAGCTGACCCACACGGCGCCAAGCCCCCCCCCCCCTGGACCGGGGCGGATGGTGCCGACCCTGACGTTGTCCGCGCTGCACCCCGTCTTCTTCCGGATTACAGCGCGGACATCTTCGGCCGTCACAGAGTCGTCCAGGCCCGAGATGCGCAGCTCCGCGCACTTGGTAGGCCTGGCGATCTTGACACCATCTGTGGCCGCGAATAAACCCCGCAGCCTCTCAGCGAAAGTGTCCGCCGTCTTGGCGCCTTCAGCCCCTGGGAACTCGAGAACTCGAGCTCCCGTTTGGGCGAGGCGCATCTTGACCCCCACCGTCCCAAAGTCGTTGGCGAGGCTGTCCCGGGCCTTTTTAAAAACGGCCGCATAGGACAACCCGCCGTCAGCCGCCTCCGGGGACACGGTCACCACTACAGCCGCAGTTTTGGGCGGCTGCAGCTTCCGCGGCCTCTTTGCAGAGGCCGTTGCCACCGGTGGCGAAGGCTGGGCTTGGGCTGCTTTTTGGGCAGCCCTTCTGGCCCGCCTTCGGGACTTCTTGGAGCCCCTCGCCTCCTGCCAGCCCTCGTTGGAGGGGGCAGGTGCGGAGGGGCCCGGCAGGGGTGTCGGAGTGGGGAGCGGAGGGAATGCCACTCCGCTCCTCGGCGCCGTTTTAGGCCCCGTCTTGGCCGGCACTTTGGCCTGCGCCTTGGCCGGCGCCTGGGCCGGTGCCTTGGCCCCCCTCCTCGGCTTTTGGGGAGCCGATGGAGTCGGGGCAGACGCCTCCGCCGCGTAGGAGACGCGGCCTCCCACTACGGGGAGCGCGGTCGGAGCGGCGGCCTTAGGCCGCTGTGTCGACGCGAGCGGGGGGCGCACAACCGGCGCAGGGGGCAGTCTCGCCTCCAGGCCAGCCAGGCGTCCGTCCAGCATATTCCCAACTGCGATGAGGATTTCTCGCAGTTGGGAGTCAAATGCCCCTGAGTTGGTGGTAGGGGCAGGCTGGGACGCGGACGGGGCTTCCCGGTCGGGGAGGTTCGCCTGGAAGCGGGCGAACTGAGCGCTCAGCTCGTTCACCCGCTCCGTCAGCCTCTCGTTGGCCACCTGCAGGCGAGACACATCGCCCACCAGGCCCTCAACGACCTCCGACAAAGCGGAGGAGGAGTCCTTAAGGGCCCTCACAAACGAGCCCTTAAGGTTCACGGACTTGGTGGCCACCTTGTGGATGACGGCCACCGCCGCTTTCGCCCTCTCCTGCACAAACACGGGAGCCTGGGGGGCATTTCCCCCCACCGGCTCCCGAACCTTGAGCAGGAGATCCGCGATCTCCTCCTCCGCTACGGCCTCGCCGTCCACTCGTACATTCCTGTATGACTCCGCGTTTGAGAACGCGGAGCCTGACGGGGTCGAGACCGAGGCCGAGGCCGGTTTGCGTGCCCTCCCTCGGCGGCTGCTTGCCACCTTTGGTGGCATCATCTCCTGGGACGTGTCGGTTTCCACGTCCCCTGAGCGTCCGCGTTTTCGGCTGTCGCTGCGATGTTCCGCTTCCATGGCCTCCGCGCCATCCGACGACGCGGCGGATCCGGAACGCAGCCGATCCGATGCTCTTCGGCTCCCAGAGACCAGCGTCAGACTGACTTCTGGGAGCCCCACCGAGATAGGCGTTCCCGACGCTATCTTACCCTCCGTGGATGACCCATCCACTCCACTGCTCCTCTTCTCTTTCATTTCAGAGTCCGTTTTGCTTGCCTTTTTCTTTTGTGATTGGTTTTCCGATCGTTTTTTAATATTTTTGTTGATATTTTCCATAATAATCCCACGAGTGGGGGAGAACTAAAGGTCCACCCGGGCAGAGATCCCCCATTACCCGGGCAAGCGTAAGTTTTTAATCCAACCGAGGGGTCCGCAGGTACCTCGGCTTGGAGTGCGCTCGAGACTGAACTTCCCATCAGCCATGCATCCCCTGGCCACGCACTAGAACACGGGATTCGGGGAATTTTTTAGAGAGGTTATCTTCCTCGCGGTCCGGGCGGTTAAGCCAAGACCCTCGCCCCCGATCAGAGCCGCGAGACTTAACCACAGCGCTCTTCTCGGGATTGCGATATGCCGACGGTTGACAGGGAGACTACGTCCCCCTGCCTGCTCGGTGGTAGTGTGAGTACACGCCGAGCCCGTCCTCCTTTCTCCACCGCTGTCAGCGGAGAAACTGTGGCCCCTACAGGGCCCCGCCATCAGGTTTTTTACCGAGGTTTCCTCCTCCATGCTCCGAAGAGCGAAGAGCCAGCAGGGCAACCGGCAGACACGCCCACCCTGCTGGACCAGGCCTTGCCCGAGAGCCGATGAACGGCTACCTCTTCTGCTAGAATATTGGCCGCTGGCGATAATCCTCTCCTCCAAGAGGACAAGGAGGAAACAGTACCATCGCCAGCGTTTCCAGGGTGCACCACGAGGAGGTTTTCTAGCCCAGCACCCCAAACCCTATACCAACCCGTCTGGCCAGCGTGGTACAGTAAGCCAAAACTTCCTTTCTAAGGAGAGGCCTATGTCCAGCAGTGGACTATCAAAGGCTGATGATGTGATGATGTGCTTAACACTGGTTTTCTGTAAGACCACTCCGGACAAGCCGGCCCATTTATGCCGAAGCATGGCTCTTTCACAACAAAAATTATACTAAATTTTCCAGGCGAGTTAATGTTTTACAGAAAGATCATAGTAAAGTTTCCATTTAATAATCATATTGTTTTTTATTCGTAATATATAAGACAAATTATAATTCGTAGGATTTATTTTGTATTCATTTATTATGGACAACATTCAGGATGATTTTACTGCTGTCCTCGCCTTCAGACTCGGGAACTCCCATAAAAAGGAGAGCTTGGTCCCGATGACTTGCTTTCATGGTTTCGAAAGGCTTAGAAAATTAATTAATAAATACTACGATAAATTAATGCACTCCATTTGGGTATTTTGTGTGGTTTCGATATTTCAAAGTTGCGGGACACCGTATTGATTATAGTGTAAGGTGATGGTAGTAGTAGCTAGTAGTATATGAGCTGTTACAAACATGATTTACGGAGATTTAGACTACGGTCTGCTCGTATTAAAAGTATTATTGTAGAAAATGAAGATATTTCATTCAAAATTGATTTTTTCCCGTCAAGATGTTGTAGTTTTAGTCTAGTTTTTCTATGCGAGACTTGCAGATCTCACTGCATGTCATCTGTTGTCCCTTTCCCCGTATAATTATAACTTTGCTTCATTTGAAATAGATTACATTCTCAAGAATGATCTTTAAAGAAACCCACCGAAATTGTTTACAATAGGCAAAACACAGACACAACAAAAATAAAATAAAATAAAATAAAGTAGAGATAAACCAAAAGAAACACTTTGCTAAACTTAAGAATAGCACAAACAATAACAAAACAAACAATTACTAAAGAATAAAATTATCGCTGTGTGTGACTAAAGGGACACAACTCAGCGTTTGTTATGGTCCCTAAAGTGACCACAGCGCTGATTTTCAGTGGAAGCCTAAAGATACCTCACGGACGTGTGCATAGTTTAATTACTATAAACATACATGTGATAATTACATATATACATTAATTACATAATATACATCCTGTTAATATAATAAAGACTTCAAATAACTATTTTTTTTTGGAAATTTATAGATAAAAGAGCAGAGAACAAAATATATACAGATTAAATAATTTTAGTAACATTACGAGGTCTAATTTTATATTAAATGATATTGATGACCCCGAATATAATCAAATGAAAACTTAACATTATCTACATTGTATTTAAAGTGTATAACTTTTTAGCACATCAATGAAATGAAGGAGACAATAAAAAAACTCCGCAAGACTTCTGGAAGTTTATTAAGAGCAAAAGGAAGACCTTGGGCTACCCAAGCCATATGTCTTATGACGGAACTACCTTCTCCAACAGTGAAGACATTTGTAATGCTTTTAATTCATTTTTTCATAAAGTTTTTCAATAACCCGACCCCGGCGAAACTGTAACTTGTCCGGAACCCCCCTACGCATCAAATATTTACTCTGTTGTAGTTACTACCAAGGCTCTGAAAACCGTTTTTAGTAAGCTAGACCTAAAAAAAGCGTAGGTTTGAACGGCCTTCCAGTTGTGTTTATAAAAAAATGAGAAACTGGTCATCATATATCAACATCTAACATACGGGATGCGCAGATTGACGTGATTTACACAGATTTTGAGAAGGCATTCGACCGGGTACATTATGGTGTCCTTATTACAAAATTAAATGCCGTGGGAATAAAAGGCAACTTTTTGCGATAGTTGGAATCCTATTTGAGAAATAGACGTCAGGCGGTAGTGATGGGCGGTTATAGATCGGACTATGTAGATGTCACCTCGGGGGTGCCTCAGGGATCGTTATTATCGCTTTTGTTATATAATATATATCTTTTTAATTTACCAGATAGCCTACATCATTCAAAACATCTTTATTAATTAAATAACTAAATAATTGACTTTACTCAGAAAAAACACCTTATCAGCTATGAGTATAGTATAAGCTATGAGTCTATTCCCAGAACATCACAGATAAGGGACTTAGGTGTTATTTTAGACAGTAAGTTTACCTTTAAAGTACACGTGGAACAGATAATCAGTGAGGCCCATAAATCACTTGGGTTTGCCATACGCAATAGTAAACCGTTTAAAGACCTACACTGTCTTAAGGTTCTTTATTACAGCTATGTTCGAAGTGTCTCGGAATTTGCAAGTATCACCTGAGACCATTTCTAATAACTCAAATAGGTTTAATTGAAAGAATGCAACAGAAATTCATTAAACACTTAAACAATAAAGCCCAAGTAAAAAACATGACATGAGCAATCATGTCAATATCACAAAATTGTTGCAAACAATCGTCATCATAGACATCTCTACAATAATATAGAATGGAGCTAATTGGAAAACCACGGGCAATTTAAGAAAAAAGTCGTTTTGTCGTGACACTTGTGACGATTAAAAATTAACCAATCATATTAAACTATTCATTGGCCTAAGAGAAAAACGAATTCATATGACAGCTATAATTTTGGCGCTAAATGTCTGGTGGCAACTTTTGAATATTCAAGTGATATTTTCATTCGTGTTTTGTTTTTGGTAAGTTTACAATAATTTAATGTATTTTATGTCGATTACGAACCTGTAACTGATTAAGCTGGTCAATAGTGATTTCTAAGCTAAAAATGTAGCATTTTAATTAGTTCCATTTTAAGGGTTAATTGGTAAGGACTACTTTTTTTAAAGATCATAGGATCTTTTTAAGGAAGTAGTGCTTACCAAATATTAGAATTGCATATTGGAAGAATTGTAACTATTGTATGTGTATGTCAATGTTTAAATACGCCGATGAAACATCTACAAGCAAAGCATATTTATTCTTTATTGCATACTGTGAATTTTGATTTACAGCTTAATATTTTTTACGAATTAACCCATTCAACGCTAGGAAAACTTGCCAAGTCTAAATAACTATCAATACCTTACTAGTTGGAAAGCTACATCGCATGTCACACAACACATTTCGCATGAATCATAGTTTGTGTGACGAAAAATATGGAAATGGAAACACATGCTGCTTACTGGCTACCCGTACTGTATACATTAACGTTACGATATACATAGAATTAGCAAAGAGTTTTTGCAAGACAGAAGATATTTTAAAAAGTCACGAGAAATACTCACTTCTTGTTAACTACATTCATATTACCATAATTTATACATGTATTAATAATAATAATAATAATAAATAATATAACTGTTTAGTTCAGATATATGATATATGTACCAGATGTTTGGATTATCTTTGCAACGTTTTTACTTTTTAAAATTAATATATACATAAGAAAGAAAAGAGAATTCTTAACTCGTAAATAGTTTGTAAGTAAGATAATTACGATTATATCCAAAACTGGTGCAATAATGTAATCGGTCTGTCCAGCTTTGCTGTCGTAATAACATGCGTCCCTGTTGCGTGCTCAGAGTCTAACGAAGCATTGCATTACAATGGCGAAATGAAACACAAGGTGAATCTTACCTAGCTACAGTATAAAAGGTAATGTCACCAAACTTCGAACATCACAAACACATCTTCTGTTCAACAGACAAATACCACACTCAAACAAAATGTACAAGATCGTAAGTATACTATTGAAATATTATGTGAAGCATTATAACTGCAAGTTAAAGGGAGAGACGTTTTAAAAAACCCCTTGATTTATTAGATATCTAATTATATTTTGTTCTTTCAGGTATTTTTCCTCGCTACCCTCGCTTTGGCCTGTGCCAAGCCTAGTGTGGTTGCACCAGCGCCTTTAGTCGCGGCACCTGCACGTCTAGTCGCAGCTCCAGCTCCATTCGTTACGGCTTCCAGCTCCCAATATGTATCAAGAAACTACAATGGTCTGGTCGCCGCTGCTGCTCCTCTAGTCGCCTCAGCCCCTTTGGTCGCTCCCGCCCCCTACTTTGCCGCTCCAGCATACGCCGCACCTGCAGCTAATCTAGTAGCAGCGCCTGCACCTGTTGTGCCCGCTTTTGCTCGTTACGCAGCGCCCTACATTGCGGCTTCACCTTACTTCGCTGCATCCCCATACTACGCCCCTTCTGCTCCTATTGTCGCCCTCAAGTAATTTATGACTGATGCTCTAGATCTTTATACACTTTTATACTGAGAAATATATAAATATTTTCTTCTAATGTTGTTTTTATAATATCTGTTAAAAATGTCTGCGATCATTTCTCAAATAAAACTTTGAGTATAGTACGAAATATCATCATGCCTATATAAGAATGCTATTTATGGACCTAAATCACATGAAATACTGACAAGTACTGTAATCCTCCACTGTTATTAGCACAAAACCATACAAGAATCAGTTTGCGCATGTTATACTGCGTGATCGTGACCGTGTATTAAGTTTCAAGGAAACTTGCCTATAGTTTTTGGCAAAAGCAATTTTAGGATTAACAAAACTTATTAGTTACATAAAGAAGCCGTATCACAAAGGGAGAAATTAGGCTGGCCTATTTATGTCAGGTTACAGTAAATTGAGAACATTTTCTGTCTGCAAACTGTAAATTACTACTAAGCAAAAGCATTTCCATTAGAATATAATATGATTTCTTTGAAGGTAGGCAGAAAGATAGGTTCATCTACCAGAACATTCGTACATGTTCAGTTTTATGCTAATTTTTCTAGATATAACTGAGAGATTTTAATTTTACTTATTCTTTGAACCATATATTCCTTATTTCAAAGATAAATTCGATTTTGAAATTTAACAATAACTAAATTTCAGTTAAAATAAATAGTAAACTTTCGGTCTATAATGGACTATAATAATATATTCACAGGTCGCATGCTAATAACAATAATATATACGTAATATATTCTTTTTAATTTAAAATTAAAATTATTTTTTCATCATTATAATTTAACATTAAAATCTATTCATTGGCGTCATTTCTGTTTGGTGTAAAAAGTCTAGTTATTTTTAAATAATAATTTTAATTTAATAAGTTAAACATTGATTTCTTTAGGAACATGTTTGTATTAGGAAGTAACGTCTGATTCAATAGTTGTTTTAAGTTTAATGAGTTAGTTTCATATTTTATAGACATAAATTATTTGTTAATTTTAAAAGATTTTCAGTAAGCTTTTTGTCGTTTAACGTGCTGCTTATTTTATTACTTTACTAGCTGACCCGCGCAACTTCGTCTGCGTCTCTCAATAGTAATAAATTTTCTCCGTTTTTGAAACATTCTTCATTGGTGCTCCGCTCCTATTGGTCTTAGCGTGATGATATATAGCCTATAGCCTTCCTCGATAAATGGGCTATCTAACACTGAAAGAATTTTTTAAATCGGACCAGTAGTTCCTGAGATTAGCGCGTTCAAACAAACAAACAAACTCTTCAGCTTTATAATATTAGTATAGATTACTACTAGTATTATTTTGTTGACATTTTAAAATCTTTCTAAGAAAAGGAGTATTAAAAAGCTGACTTTTCTGTACAGCTCTGGATTTTTTCCTGTGTTCTCTTAATATTTTCTTCTAGCTTTATAGCTATTCTTTTATTAAGAATTTCATTCAAACAATTCTGAACAGCAAATCACATAAAGTGAGGATATTCAACAGTTAGTTGGCGAAGAGTTCTTGTGAATTATGTCTATGGAATAATATAAGACGGCCATGTGTGAAAATAAAGAAGAAAAAAGGGCTGTTTATTCTCTTTCTTTATTTTATTATTAGGTTATTAATTACGTTTTCGAGTTTCCCAATAAAACTGCAGCTATTACCGGGTTGGATGAAGAGCTAGTTAAAAGATTTGCTGTAATTTATCAAGCGATAATATCAAGATCGACGTAATTAAATTTTAAGATTTTGCCCGCAAAACAGCAGAAAAGTACGTGGAATTATACGACTAGTACTACATGTTGTCAATTGTACATATATTATATTGTTAATAATCGGAAATTATTGAGAAAAAAAAATTTTTGCTGCAATCAGCACAGAGAGTTCCAATGAACTGTCTCGGAAGAAGCATCAAAGTCTCGAAACCAAAATTTTAAGAGGTTCCGAAAACATCGATCGCGGCAAGATTCATATCCAGGTATCAAAATCAAATCAAATCAAATCAAATCAAATCAATCTTTATTTGTTTAGAATGTAGGTAAAAATACAAATTAGATGTTGTGTAAGTTAAGTAAGTTCCTGGTACATTCTGCCATATGGCATACAAATCTTAAAAATAATAATAATAATAATAAAAAAAGAACAATTATTAAATAAAATTAGGATATTAAAACCTTTTACATATAATATGTCAATAAAATTATAATGAGAAATCTTTGTTTGTCAAAAAAAATTACAAAAAATGTCATAAAAAATAAAACAATATAAAAAATTAGATTGCATCATTTAAATAATCCGTTAGACAGTAATAACATTTCTCCACCAGGAAGTCTGTCAACTTATTTTTAAATTGTTGAAGTGGCAAATTCTTCAATGCATCTGGTATTTTATTATATATTGTAGGCCCCATACACAATACACTTTTCCTTAGAAGTGCAGTTTTGTATTGGCCCGTCGATAACATGCCAGTGTATTGTGATCGTAGCGGTGCTGTTCGTTTTCTGCTGTCATTAAATAATGGAAACAAATGTCTGTTAAATTTAACAAACATTGCTATTTCCAAAATATATAAGCACGGAAAAGTTAATAATTTAAAATTCTTAAAAGCAGATACACAACTTTCCGTAGTTAATAAGCCCGCTATTGCTCTAATACAGCGTTTTTGAGATTTAAAAATCATATCTCTATCCGTGCAATTCCCCCAAAATATAATGCCGAATCTCAACACTGAGGAAACCATACCGTGATATGCTAATAGCAGTGTGTGTGTGTTTACCTTTTTTGCAAGATGGAAGAGTGCATAAGCAGATTTATTTAATTTCTTGCATATGTTCTCTGCCTGCGGCTTCCATGAAAGCTGACTATCAACAAGAATACCCAAAAATCTTGCTACATTTACTTCCTGTATGTCTTGCCCATTACATTTAATGCAAAATTTGTCTATCATTCTGCGTTGGAAGAAATGCATTACTGTAGTTTTCTGTAAATTTATTACTAAATTATTTGCATTCAACCAATTTACTATTTTGTGTAATGTGTTGTTAATTTCCTGTTCATATGTATCCCTATCGTCACACGTAATTATTGCAGTACTGTCATCAGCAAAAAGAACCATTGGTTGTTGAATTTGGCGTGGAAGGTCATTGATATATATTAAAAATAATAAGGGTCCCAGGATACTTCCCTGTGGTACACCATAGACTGTGCTTTTATAATCAGACCTAAACTTTACTTCACGTTTACTTTTTTCGTTTATACGAATTATCTCTGTATACTGTCTACGATGACTTAAATATGATTTTATTAAATCTAAAACATTTCCTCTAATTCCATAAGCATTAAGTTTATCAATGAGAGTCTCATGTTTCACATAGTCAAATGCTTTAGACATATCAGTAAATATTGCACATACTGACGTCTTATTATCAACCTTAACCATTATTTTACTTAAAAGGTCATATATTGCCATGTTAACATTTCTATTTTTTCTAAATCCCATTTGTTCGTCACATAGAATGTCAAATTTTATTAAAAAATTGTCAATAGCTTCGTAAATTACTTTTTCTATAACTTTAGAGAAAACTGGGGTTAGAGCTATAGGTCTGTAATTGGTTAGTTTATCCTTACAGTCTTTTTTATGTAGTGGTTTAATTATAGCTATTTTTAATTTATCTGGATATACACCAGATGTTATACTACAATTAGTTATGTGACAAAGGGGAGCAGCTATTACCTCAGAAACATATTTAACAACTCTTGTTGATATCCCATCGTAGCCAGTGCTGTTTTTGTTTTTTAAAGATTTTATTAATCGTATTATATCTTGCTGTACCACTGGAGCCATGAATAGAGAATAATGATTGGTTTTCGGACCCAAAACTGTATTTTTTGATGTAATAGTCCTTGAACCAGATGTGATATGGTCAATGAAGTAGTTGTTGAATGTATTAGCAATTTCTGTCGGGTCTTTTATTATTTTATCTGATAGCTGTATCTGTAAGATGGGTTCTGGTGTATTTTTATGCTGATTAATAACGTGCCACGAAGCTTTTGATTTATTTTTCGAGTTTGATATGTAGTAATTACTTTGGGCCTTTTGTGTTAATTTAACTACTTTTTTAAAAATTGTTGTATATGTTCTGAATTTTTTTATATTCTCAGTTGATGGTGATAGGCGATATTTCCATAGCAAATTTCGTTGTTTTTTACTACATAATCGTATACCTTTTGATATCCATTTAACATTTTTTTTACCTTTTACTGTAACGAACTTGAAAGGAAAACACAAATCATACAGCAGTAAAAACAATTCTAAGAAATTATCGTAAGCGTCATCTGGATTATCGGTTTCGTATACTTGTGAGAAAGATAAGCTTTGCAAGTAATTTTTAAATTTAATGAGATTTTCTTCCGATATATCGCGTTTTTCAGTACGCCACTGGCTTAATAGATACGTCTTTTTAACCTCAAACTTAAACAACTGAGCTGTATGGTCCGATAAACCCAAGTCTATATTTTGACTCAGGCATTTTTGTTTTAAATTATGTGCAAAATTGTCTAAACAACTGTTGCTGATTGGGCGTGTAGGGGCTTTTATTATTAATTGTAAATTATAGTTCAAAAGAAATAGTTCAAAATCAAGGGTTGTTCTATTTCTTTTCAGGATATCTATGTTAAAATCCCCGCATAACACTACTTTAGTTTTGGGTTTAGTTATCTTTTTTAAAATTAAGTCGAGCTTTTCATAAAATGTATTTAAGTTGCACATAGGGGGTGGTCGATAAATGCAAATAATGCTCAAGTCTAGCTTACGTAGTTCTATAGCACAACACTCTATGACGCCTGGCAAAGACTGATTTGCAATATGTTTCAGTTCCTTGTATTCATGGCCATTCCTAACCAGTATGCAAGCGCCCCCACGCTTTTTAGAATCCCTCGCGTAACATGCCGCTAGCTTGAAATTTGGTATATTTAATAACGGTTCATGTCCCGACA